GTAAACCAACCTCGGTGGTTTATTTGTTTGTCACGTTTCAAGATCTCTGATGCTAGTTAGCGCGTCCGATTTATAATATGGATCGATGAACGCGCGAAGAAAACGCGAGAACAAGAGTCCAAAGAAATTGATCTTTACGCAATTAATATCTGCCTGCGATATCTACCAGACGCCACGCATTAAAACAGGATAAAGATTAATTTTACACAGTTTCTTATAATGGGTATATAATTTCATTATTATTATAATATTATTTCCTGGGTTAGATTTAAATAAGCGACACTGTCTAAAATAGGACCGTCACAGCTCAATGTTTTCATTTAAGCTCTATATTTATTTTTTGTTTCTATTGATAACTGATATCGTTCATCCACTGTCCAATGCCAACAGTCCATGCCAATAGCTTCTTTATTTTGTGGTCAGGTTTGTGGAGTGATTTGTAGTCCGTGCGGCCGCGGGAATCCTTTCCTAAGAGGAGATCAGTCGCGGTATATTTCGCAGATCGCTTTCCTGGGTGGGGCTCATTGGCGGACCATTTCCCGGTACATTTCCCAGATCTTCTCGTGGACTGTGGCTTGCGGCTCCTCAATGTGCATTTTTTATTGCGCTGGCCATATTCTTGTTCTTCAGTCTAGCTTGGCGCTATTTTATGCACGTTGACGGAATTTCTAAAGGAAAGAAAACAGTCAAGTTTTAGGTCTATCTTTAGATCTATATTGGTTGGGAGTGGTATGACATCATGAGAAGGACGTGATTGTGTTTGGAGAGGCACATGAACAACGCGTGTAATCTGTTCATTGTTTCTCGGTTTCTGCCGTATATTATTGTTTGGTTTCCTGATTAGGTTAGTATAGAGCACGTAATTCTTCTGCTTGCCCGTCAGGTTCTGAGTAGACTGATTTACACATTATGCCGGCATTGAACATAAAAGTGAAGCAAAAGAATCGAAGTTATGCCGGAATAATGGTGATAAAAACTTGCTTATGGTTGGGGTCTGGGCCTTGGGCAGCCCGAGAGAGATCTTTTACTACCTTGCACGAACGTGGTGGTTTCAACATGAAAGAGAGTTTCCAAATTACAGGAAGATTTTGCAGGAATGTGTTTTTTCATCCGATATCTGTTTTGGTCTGAAATCGTGATTTAAACTGATGATGAGTTCTGTTTTGACCCACGCCCAATCAAGTCGACTGAGTGTCTTCGTAAGGAACCCAGGTTTTAATATGGTCGTGACCTCAGTTCAAGAATGACACATCTTGCCGCAATTTCTTTTTTCTCCTCGAGCTGCGCACGGGGAGGTAAGCCGTACCTGGAACATTTGCGTCATCGTGCAAGCCATGACGCCAACGGAAACAAGGATGTTTCGGAACAGCCCGAATGACTCTGCGTGCGCTTATGATTTTTTTAGCCGTCTTCTACAAACTGAAAACAACGTGAAATGACTAGTCCCTAAGAATTTTGAAATGAACCCCTTCTTCACGTGCTCAACACGTGCTCTTCACGAAGTGACGTCATTAGGCACCAGTCTCCAAGCGGCGTAGGGTTTCCCCGCCGGAGGTTATAAAATAGTCGATTTGGCTCGATTTGTCAGCTTTTGGCGGTCGTGCATTTTCTATGCTTCTTCTACAACTGGGCCATTTTTTTGTCGTAATTCAGTAGTGATTCCTGTTCCAATCTTGACTTTATTTAATACACTCTTTGAGCTGCCACTAATTGTGCGACGAGACAGAGAATTTTCACCCTTGAATTGTTGATGATCAATTTCATTGCTGTAATCTTCGTGTGACCTGCCTGATTAACTGTGCTTGGACATTGATGCTTTTAAAAGGTGAGATTATACTTCTAATTAGTGCTCATTCTTGGGGCTTAATTAAGAGTTGATATGTCGCCTTGGAGCATTTTATCAGCGGCTTTTCAAAAGCTAGTCCTCTTATATTTTATTTATTAAATTCTTTCGAGTGAGCATGGACTGAAAACCTCCCTTATAGCTGTAGACTAGAGCACATGGAATATGAATATAGCTGGAAGAAAGCGACCACGGGAGAAAACAGTAATCAACGCCAGGAATATGACAACTGAACAGAATATGCTTATTTTCAGTCAGCAAGATATTATAAATTTGTCGCAACGAACTGAACTGCCTTTGCAGGTGGTAATTTTAACCGCGCGCCGGAGCGCGACCCATATGTATTTTCAAGACGTCCGGCTTTTTTCTACAAAGATTAAACTCTTCCTTGCAGCTGGAGCTTAAATGAAACTCCACGAGTTTTAATTTCTTAATTAAGGTAGGGCTCACCCTGAAGCCCGTTGCTTCTAAGGCGAACGAGCTAGAACATTTGGTCAAAGTGTCAGTTGTTAGCCTTCAAGGGCTGATTAGCTTTATCATGATTGAGTTGTAATTCCAATAATCCAGACAACTTCTAGAACCACAACGATCCTATTTTTTTGTCTTAATCTCCGTGAGAGATCAGACACGTTTCTCGTTCAGCGCCTAACCGTATGTCTAGAATCAACGAAAAGTCCATATCAATAACATACACCAATAGAGATGTACAATTTGGTTTGATATTAACCGTATATACCATGTCAAACGGATCAGTGCCTTGTCCTCAGCTTGGAACAGTCTTTCCGGATCAGGCTGAGGGAGCCGGGCACCCTGTGTGGGCCTCCGTCTAGAAAGAGGGTCTGGATAAGGGGCTTGATTTCCAGTTATCAGTTAAATTTTGGGCAATTTCTCTAACAAATGATTTCTTTAACAAATAGGTTCCATGTTTCCCTACCTCTGTTCAGTATTAGTACGAATCTACCAGCGTTCTATCACGAATGCTGTTCTCTGATTGGCTACGCTTCTCCTATCTATTCCGTTGTAGATGGTGAGTAGCGTTGCCGTGTGCGCTTGTTAACAAACTGGCGACCGCTTCTTTGCGTTTTCGAAGTGTCTGTGAAGAGGATTTAGATAAAGTTTTGAACGACTAGTAGATTTATACTAAAACGATTAGATTATTCGCTCTCGATTTCTATGCACAATAGTTGACTCAGGCTGCGCCCTCGTCAACTATCACGCGATAGAAATCTCGAGCTAATGTAATCGTAATTACAATTGTACTTGCTCCGTAATGTAAAGTGGTACTGATGTTCTTACCTGACCACATTTTGACGTCTTCTGTGATCTTTTACTGAACAGACGCACGGCAACATGGAATCTGTTTTTTTTATGTAATGAAGAAATAAAGATATGTTCATGATGTCATCTATGCGTCTGTCCCGCAATAGATCATAAGTAAGAATCAATCAAAATGCGAGAATCATTCGACATATTATATAATTAAATTTAGGGTGAGCTATCAGTAAACTTGGCAGATATCTAGTCTTAGTTGTCATGTAAAAAAAAACTCGCGTCATTTCTTAGCTGACGGTTGAAATTTTGACCAATTTTCCGGGGTAAAGAATTAACCCTAGAGAATTAACACTAATTAAGAGTTCAAAGTCTTTCAATCCTGTAAAAAGATCGCGCCACGATAAAGGCAGCTTCATATGGCGATGTTTTCGTTCGATGTTATTTTTGTGCCTGTAAACAAGAACACGTTTACAGATGGTGGAATTATAGTAAAGACAACATTTAAAGACAGTTTCTACAAAACCATGATCACGATACTTTGGAGCGACTATTTTTGTAGAAGGTTTGAGGAATTTTCGTCCTCCTTGTTGATACGTCAATAAGGTCAGGTGACTTAATAAACAACACACAGCCATGTTCAAGAAGACGTCAATCGTTCCTCAAATATAATTACACGTAGGGTTTTAGTTAGGACAGCAGATTTCGATTGTTTGAACTTCGAGGGTCTTCTCTTTTCTCCGCGATTTGACAAAGTTACTCTGTAGAAGCGACTGGTCATTTATTTCCACAAGCTACATAGATGGACATATGTTTTCTCGTCTAGGAAAACATCAAAATATGCTTCCAGTTATTTGAGTGTTTTTGCGCCGCGGGCAAAGTAAGCTTTTGCGTCCACTTAAAGATGGCGGCCATTTTCGTCTACTGTGAAGTTAAGCGATAGTTATGTTTGATAATTTTTTTTTTAGACAAAGGCTTATCCACCTCGAGTTTACAAAATGGGTCGAAACGTGGTATTGCAGAAAATACGTTGGAGGCTTTTAAAACTGTTTATTACGCAAACGTAGTTACTGATTAAGTTCCAAAGCAAGTCAACCCGAACCCCCACCCACCAAGCGCGAAATATTATCTCATCTTTTCTAAGTAAAGTTTGTTTAACATCAGGAGCCATAATGGCTCCTGTTAACATACTATATTTTTGAAGTTTGGTCACACAATTTTGATGTCACTTTCACCGGGCAGTAAAGCTTGCTTGTGCTTTTATCATGTAGTTTCTTGTATGCCCTCGGGTTCGGTATAGTATGCGTCCTTCCGGTCCTAGATCACTTGCGACGCAAGCATAACTGATAAGCATAAACATAAGTTTATACGCTAGTGGTGACGACCGGACATAAGCATAAGAACACACTATATCGAAACCTTGCGTTCTTCTTATGCTTATGCTTATGTCGCTATTGTGTCCAGTGGGGACATGGTTGGCACGGGGGGGGNACCCCAAGAAAAATTTGGTGGGGGTGTGCGGCCCGCTTTCCAAAACCCTTACCCTATTTATGACCAAAATCTGCGATTTTCAATACCCTCAGTTATGACCTGACCCTAAATCAATACCCTGTTTCAGACCTGCCTTATAATTTATAGTTCCCTAGTTTAGACCGACGTTAAAGGCATCGTGAAGGGTTTTTATTGATCGGTCTTATCCATAATGATAAAAAAGTAGCTTCTAAAAGACATGCCCAATTAAAGACTAGAGTGCAAAAACCAGACCCTATGAGTGATCAAAATGGCTAAAATCGATACCCTATTTATGACCAAAACGGCTGAAAAACCATACCCTTTGGGGCCACTATATAGCCCATATAAGGGAGTAACCCCCCTCGGAGATGGGGGGGGGGGGGTTGGCATAAGCGTAAATATAAGTGAAAGACTTTCAGCCAATCAGCGAGCACTTTATGCTTCTCCTAGCCATGTCCTCAGTGGACATAACACCGACAGAAGCATACGCGTAAGCATAAAGAAGAACGCTTAATATGCTTAGGTCGCAGCCGTCCCCACTAGCGCATAAAGCTTCTTATGCTAATGCTTATGCTGGTCTATGCTTGTGCTTGCGTCGCAAGTGAGGACCGATAAAGCCCGGTTATACATAAGCAATAGAATGATGCTGAACTGAGAAAGTGGAAACAGTTCGAGGCTCGCCAATGATAAAGAAACTGTAGATTATAATTACAGACTACAATATTATCAAGATTTCTAAAAGCTGGACTTTGGATAATGCAGTCATTATATGCCACCATGATACATGAGCAATTATGCTTCAAAAATGATAAAAAAAGGAAAACAGAGATTATAACGTGGCGTATATTACCCAAGCAGAAAAAGGAATTTTCGCTAGCACTGCCATGATTCAGAGACATCCTAGTGAAAGCTGATCAGATATTAATTTATGAACTATAAAAATATTAAATCTGTGAACGACAAACTTTTCCTTACCGAGCAGAATACGGGCAATGTAGCGTCATCCGAGTACAATTTTGACCATGATTGCAATTTTAACGAGAATTGCGCACAGGCAGTTAGCAACGCGAACGCACGCGCCCGCGTGTCTTGCACGCGGAATACACTTTAAATTGAGGGGCGACAGTGCAGAGGTTGCAAGCGGCTTAACTAGTAGTTTTAAAGTTTCAAGTTTCTTTCAGTTTTCACTCGAGAGTAGCTGTCTACCAGCAGCTGTTATGAAGTTAACTATGGGGTAGCATTCAAAAGACAATACCTCAACAAGGTTAAGCTTTTTCGGATGCTATGCATGCGTGAGCGCGTATTTTTTTCGCGCACACGCACGCGCGTACTGTCGCGCGCGAATGCTAGTTTGCGCCATATGCGCACGAACAACGAATAAATGTGAAATAATTTTCTTAAAGGCGCCACGAAGACGCACAAAAATCACAAGCAGGACAATTATTGATGTGGTTACCACTTGACCGCTTGACTTGTGCTGAACTCATATGTCCATTTGGTCAGGCTCGTAGCTAATCTGCGGTGATGATAAATATATTCATGAACCATCGGGTCGGTGGGCTTTTGTCATCCATAAACACGTTCTTGTCCGCTGCGTTCTTTGTTGTAATATTTGCATTTGTTTGAGGCATCGCGGGCCCTGATTGATAGTTCCTGTAAACCACCAACAGATATGTGAATTACAAAACTAACAACACAGTTCCAACTTCATCTGGTTCGCGAAGCGCTGATCAAGGAAAGTTCGAATTTAGCAGTCGATTTGTCTTCGATGGGATGAGTTCGAACGCTAAGTCTGTACGGGACCGGACGCCGAAATGTTCGATTGTCCTGAGCAATGTACTAGCGGTTGTCTTTCGACCGACGTCAACCGCAGTGCAACATCACTGCGAACATGCAAAACAGGGAGACGATGTGGAAAATAACCGTTCAAAACCTGTGCACCAAATAAGTGGATTGGAGTTATTCGATCAGTTTAAGGAAGCAAACCGTTCGACGATGCTAACGAGGTTGTCTGAAAGCTTAGACGACATTCGCCTCAAAGGGTGGATTTTTCCGTTCACTTTGCTGATCAAGGGACCGCATGAAGACGTCGAGGTCATCAAAGAAGCTTGGAGACGCCATTTTCTGCGCAGCCCCGATAACTTTAATATCCGTGATATAGGTAAGTTCAGTTTTATTGCTCGCAAATTGAGTTCAATTTTCTGAATTGACCGGCGGCCTTGTTGATTACCATCGGTGGAGATAAAAGGCTTTCCCGTATTGGTCAATGTAGGTTGGAATATTCGTTCGCTATGAAAAGTGATATGCGAAATTTCAATTGTAGTTAAGTGTTTTCCTAAATGTTATTTTTGTTAATTGCATCCATAGTACCTCGGCGGTTTCGTATGTGGTCAAATTGGGGGACTAACAAGCTACAAATTTAGCCTTCGTGCGAACACTTCCCCAGATCCAGTTGTTATAAATAAACTGAAATTCATTGAATTTATGCAAGTAAGGTATTTTACTTTTGTTATTGGTAAACAAGGTGATTCTGGACAGGTGCAATACAAGTGATAACACTCGACAAGCCGGGATAACAATATTTTACAAGGTTCTTCTCAAATATAAAAGCCGCTAGAACGTTTTTGCCGTTTCAACCTTGGCCTACAGAAACTTCTCTTTAATTAATTCAAACGCGTTCAAATGAATGGTCTCGCTCGCTCATCTTTGATCGCGCGCGCATCGAAAAACTGTATTTCCTTTATAACGTCGCTTTTTAAATAACAACTATGAATAATTTAGTGTGTTTCAACAGAACGAGAAACACACTTTGCTAGAATAGTTCTCAGCTAATTTTGCGTCATCGACGCAAGTTTACTTTTTCGTTGCTAATTTGAATTTTCCATTAGAGAAAATTGACAAGGGGGTTTTGCTTGAGTGGCGAAGAAAGGCGTTAAGTTTTCAATTAAATAGTATTTATACGGTTGCCATTCAGCTGGAATCCGAAGCAATTAAATCTTTTAACAAGAAACCTGTTCGTAAAACTTCAACTGATACTTAACCTTGCAATTACAGAAATCGTCTTCAACTGCGTCGATTCTTATAAACATATAAACAATTTGCAAAACAGTTTCAATCTGCAAATTTGATCAAAACAACACCAGCCCCTTAAGGCTAAAGCTAAGTTGATTTGTTCTTTGTAATTTCTTTTGTTGAAAGCTTTCAAAAAATGGCAAAGAATTGAGTAGTTAAGGCTAACCACGCGCGGGAGAGTTAATAACTGTGTTTTTGACGTTTTGAAAGACAACTGAAAAAGCGGCTTAAACAAGGACAACATGAAAAGAAAAAAATCCACTTTTTTATTCACTTCTCTTTCATTATCTCGCTGATAGCTCGGTAACGCATTGTTCTTTTTACGTGTGGTGGTTTTAATGAGTGGAGCTGAGTGCAGCACAGTGATTTGCAAACCATTTCAAAGATTCCGGATGTGCCTTCACGGTGAGGTCTTTCGAGGTCTTTGCACCGGATAGCAGGATTAACACAGCCTTGTTCTGTTAAAACCACTTGTGTTGTTCTTTGAACTAACCATGCAAACGGGAAAAAAATTACCATACACTTGAGCTTACAATGCTATTCAACATTGTACAAGTGGAAAAACAAACTGTGCTTTGAAGTCCTTCGTTGAAGATGACATGCGTTTCAAATGTGTGTTCGTTCGGATTTTAAACTGTGGAGTTCATTTGGCTTTACTGCACTATTGATAGTGTCTCCCAGATCGTTGAAAGGCTTTTGAAGGAGGATTATATTTAAAACCTTTATGACTGCCCGAGAAACATTAAACAGTTGCCAGATACCAGTTCTTTCTCTATTCAAAGAGAACTTATCTCACCTATTTTTAGCAAGCAGTTCCTTTGTATATTGCCATGCATGAGCTCTCAGAAAGCTTTGGGCGGACCACATAATAACTGGAAAGAATAACCTCCATTAGGTCAAAACAAAATAAAAGAAACTATCCCACAAGGTAAAACAAAGAAGCTCTCAGATGAAGAAAAAACAACAACTTAAGATGATTCAGTTTTTGCGCAACTGTACATATAATCACAAGAACGAACATTCAACTGAAAACCAGCTTACAGCTGTTTATATTGCTACTTTCGCTACTGTTCCGCGGTTTCAAATGGTTCTTTTCTTTAAATTGTGACGTTACCTATTTGTTTTTTGTGAACTTATCTTGAACTGTAATTTCATTGAAACGTTCTAGAAAATGGGACTTCTAAAGCAGTTTGTTAGGGGGTGCCGAGTGCAGTTCGTTTTAATTCTACATGGAAATAAAGGAAGGGCTCCTATTGAGAAACTAAATTGACTTTAAAATAAAGGATTTGAGTGCTATTATAAAATGAGCCAGATCTGTCACTGACATCGAGATTCGCCAAATTGAACGATCTAATTCACAAAGGTTAATTTCTTTACTATCTGTCAAGCTTCAATTACGGTATGCCTGGGCAACTTTAGAACGTTATTGTTCGCTTGAAATAACTTGTGCTGGAGGATTCGAACTATGAGTTCATACTACTAACCAATGTAGTATAAAAATAGCGAGTTTAATTTGATCCCTTGCATGCAATTGGCGAAATAGGAATTTGTCGTTAAAAGGCAGGAAAATGTTTGCTTCCGCTGAAAGGTGATACTTCCCACAACTAAAATAAATTTTCGCCTCTTTTTTTAATTACACGCGAGCGAACTCGCACGCTCGTTCTCACGCGACGCGCGCTTTGGCTGTTTTCGTGTGCATCCTAATACACGACGATAATACACATCTTAATTGCTAACAAAATGTATTAATCTTGATTTCGTTAATTTTGCAGCTCGTTAAAAGTTCTTCAATTGGAAACGCGCAATTCCATGTCCATCGGAAATAATTTTGCATGTACGACTAGTTTTCGCGACATCGCGCCCCAAAGCTGGAAAATTTAATTCAACAGTCTGTTGTTCCCATGAGTGCGCCCACGAACGCGGTGGCAGCTCACAATAAAATCAAAGTCATGTGATTGGCTGAAGTTGCTGTGACTCGTATGATATTCGTTAGTTGACTGGCCCATATTTCACAAATTGCCGCTCGTGATCACACGCCACCAATTAGCTTATAAATTGGCTTTCTGTCTCGTGCCGACAGAACAAGTCCAAAAACTTGCTCATTATTGATGTGGGAGGTACTCTAGTACTAAGAATAGCACGTATTGTGTTTAAAAACTGGGATCGGTGCAGCCGGCGGGCCAAATTATTACAAGTGATTATTTTTAAGTCACTTTTGATAGCGAGAAATGTCTCAACCTGAAATCTCAGTCTGAGGGCGGGAGATGAATGACATTTCAGGCAAGAAAAGCTCGGCAAAATGTTTTAACATAAGTGTTATGTAGCCTTAAATCTTCCTTTCCTTTATAACCACCCTTCACTGAACGTGAAATAAAATCTTTTCGTCATTCAATTAAGCAGAAACGCTATCGTATACTAAGATCCGTCTGTCCCTCAGCTTGGTTGTTTCAAACACTTTGCGGATTAACGAATTAATATCTAATGCTTTTGCTGTCTGGTTATTATGTTGGCTTGCCCACTCTGTGCTTGACTTGAATTAAAGGAGCTCAGTCATGATATTTTGAGATCATAATAAACGATAAAGGAACAAGGATGGCTAAGGATGGAGAAGATTAACGCGGATTACAATCGACAAACTTGAAAAATTTAGGCTAAACTTTTCGAGATGCGCAAACCGTGACGTAGCTCATTTAAGCAGAGCTTTCAGTAACTTTTACTCTGCTGTTGTCAATGGTTAGTTTTCTTTCTTTCTTCTGTCTCATTTGCTCCAAATTTGTGCCCTTCCACAGGTGCAGTTAGCTCGATTGGCATGGAGGTCATTCAACAAGCACCGTTCCTGCCTTTGACCATGTCGTTAATGGAGACCATAGCCTCCCTTAATGGCAGCCAGTTAACAGCCACACAGCAATCCATCGCTGAACATCTCGCCAAGACATACCAATATGTGCACGTCCCCAAACTAAACGTGATTCACGACTGCCTGGGAATTCTGATCAAAGAACGGAAAATTTATCACACGGGCAACGGGTATTTCGTTTCCAATCACAGTCCATTTGATAAACCCGCGGACGCGCCGAAAGAAAATGGCGACGGCCATGGAGCGAAGGAATCTCGTTGCGTTGCGTGCGAGGTCATTTCCAAAGGAAAGTCTGCCAAAGCTGAAAAAGCTAAGAAAAAGAAAAAAGAAAAAGAAAAAGAGAGTGCAAAGGACAAGGAAAATGGGAAAGTTAAAAATTCAACAAAGGAAGAGGAAACGCCCGACAGCAAAACACCAGTTGATCATGTAGAATCAAAGTGTGGAGAACGAGGAACCCAGGACAAACCTCCGACGCCCCAAATGCTGGAAGAAACAGCGAGCGAAACTAGCAGCGAAGGAGCAACTAAGAAAGCTAAGAAACAGAAGAAAGGCGTGCTTGATCAGATAACGTGCTTCATCAAGGGAAAAACGCTTTCTGTAGCAGAAGTGTCTGAAGACACTAAGAAGGAGACCAAACCCGAGACCATACAGGAGCAAACGATACCCTCACCCTCCCCTCCCCCTCAAGTAACTAATACACGGTGTCCCGCACCGCTCGCGGGTCAAGAGGACACGTCACTGTCTCTGTCGAGAAAAGAACGGAGTATTCGTCTTCAATTCAGAAACAAAAGAGCTTTATCGGCTCCGGCGGATAATCCTTCTTTGTTCACCCCTGTTCTTAATAAGGAGCTGGAAGAGCCCGCTAAAAGAGAAGCTAAGAAAACAGTTCCGAAACCTCGGGAGCTTGCCAGAAGTAAGTCTTTCGCAGCGGCGGAAAAACGCCCCGCGCCCGTTCAGCGGAGCAATTCATTCTCCGCTGCAAGTACCAGAGTCGCGCGGCAGATTTCGACCGATAGTGCTCCAGGAACCTGGGACAGGCGACTGAGAATGAACTACGGCGATATCATTCGCAATACACCAGCCAGACAAACGATCCACATATCTAGACCGAGTTCGTGTAATATCGGAGTTGTCAGACCTCTGGATACGACACAACAACGACCGCTTTCACGGAGCAACTCCTTGAAGAAGGAAACGCCCCGGAAGAAAGGGGGGTCCCTGTCACCCCCGGGTACCCCCCGGAGTTTTATCACCCCAAACAGTACTCCGCGCCTGAGAGAAAATTCAAATCGTCAAGTAGTTGTCCGAAGTAAATCTTTCACGGAGCCAGGGGTTGTGAGGTTGGCAAATCGACAATTCTCTTTTCGCCCAACCATGGGACCACATTACGAGTCTCCTTTACAACAGCTGTTGGAGAGAAAAACTCCCGGCTATACAGCTCCTCCGAGTACAGCGATGCGCGTCACAGTTGCTCCTAAGGGAAGGTACTATACACCAGTCAAACGCTCGCCTGCGTCTCCTAAAAGGACTCCTCTCAGCAGTCCCTTGCGAAAGCAGCCAAAACAGCCCGCGGGCCAACCCGCGGGACTATTACCAAAGAAGAAACCCTATACCAGAAATGACTGCTCGTCACCTGTTTGTTACGACACAAGCATGATCAATGACAAAGTAACTAACTGCGTGTGCAACGGAGACGTAAACCATGCAGAAGGAACGGCTAAATTTCAACCTGTCCTTCATCCAAACCACAATTACTACCAGCATGTCGGTTCGCCTTCGGACGGCGTTAGCAGCGAACATATTTGTATCGAGGAAATGACTTCCACATCGGCGTCGGAAGTGACGCTGACCGAAGACGTCGACAGATATGCGGAGACTCGAACTGATAACGAGGGCAAGCCGCTGGGTCTCTACAAAACGTTCAATGACGAGGGTGTCAATGACAGCTTGACATTTATTGGTATTATTTGATCAATATTATATAATGCTTATACTTCATAAACAGAAGATAGAAATTTCGCCACATTGGCTGCCTATTAAGGAACGTACCATTATTTTCTTGAGAGGGAGTGGGTGGGTGAGCTGCCACTTTCCAAAAAATAAACTCCTGCACAGCAAAAACTGCTAAAAAATAGTCGTGCAAGGGGAGAAAGAAAATAGGCGAACAAATGCTTTCTACCATCCAGGTCCTCTTAAAAGATTTCCGAGTAGTGCACAAGCTATTACCCACCAAAAAAATCATGCACAACCAAAAGGCAAGAAAAAAAAATTTTCAAGCCCCAAAAAATTTCGCCCCCCCCTCACCCCTTCCTCCCCCCGCCCTCAAAAAATAATGGTACGTCTCTAACATGACTTGTTGTTTATATAACGTTATTCTGAGGCAATACCTTTATTTTGACTGTGTTTTAGTCGGTAGATGAGAATCGGGAAGTATTCTTACGTCAACGAAGTGCGCGCGATGGTCAGTGCTCACATTGTTGACGGTCAAGGGAAGGAGAGAGCATTTTTAGTGCTTCTCCGAGTATTTCTTTTTGAATTCAACAGTTCAGCTAAGAGCATTTTTAAATGATAAGCCGGGAAATTCTATTATTAATTGTTTTTTTAACAGCTCCTGCATTTTAAGGACGAAACAATGTTTGTTGGAGTCCCGCTTTGAAACGCGAACATTCCAATTTTTAAGAAGACAAGAACAAAATCTTCAACATATCTAAAATTTACGATACTGTACTGATGATCCAGTAATGTCACAATAAGAGACAAACATTTTTACTTATTTTATGGCTTGTGAAATGTTTCACGACCAAAAGGAACTATGTACTTTGATGTAAGCCGTTTTTAAAATCTTTACAGCATTCTAAGACGTGTGTTTTATATCCTTTCGTTTCCTGCACTCTATAGCTTTTTTTTTCTGTTGAGAATTTGGTTTTCAGTCAATTCAGTGTAATGGACTCCACGTCCAGACCAGTTTTCGGAGAGGATGAAATCGTGGACTGCAGTCAGTATATATTATTAAAAAAGAAGAGTTATTATTAATAGAAATATTTTTAGATATTAGCTCAGAAGACAGGCGTTGTTTATTTTTGGAATTATTTCAATTGTAGTTCATAGATATAGCGGAGGTATCCTGATTCTCAACCTCAGAAAGGAAGAGAGGACCCTAGCCAACGTTGACGCAGATTAAATGTTAAACGATAAGTTTTGTATTTTATCGAATATCACCTTTGGACCGAAATCTGGACCGAAGGAAATCGGGAGAATGTTCGGTTCCGTGTCAGTTGAACAGGTAGATTCCATGGTTCCTGGGCGTCTGTTCAGTAATTGATCACAGATGACGTCAAAATGTAGTAACAAAAACACACGAGGCGATAGCCGAGTGTTTCACTGATGTTCGTACCGCATTTTGACGTCTTCTGTGATCTATTACGGAACGGACGCACGGCAACATGGAATCTATTTGTTTTACATTATTAAGAAACCGAAAAAAAAATGTTAATGACGTCATCTGTATGTCTGTCCTCCGGTAGATTGTAAGTAAACCTATCAAAATGCGAGACAAATTTGACTTATTATGTAACTAAGACTCGACCATCTGTCGTTGTTTTCACTTTGGTTATAATATTTAGAGGAATGATTAACTCTTATTGATACCGACATTCATCTGTTCTGGGATCTTGATAGCGTTTGCTGTACACAAGTACACTTAGTAAATTTACTTTTACTCAGCAATTATACCTTTACCAAGGTTTAAGGTGGCTGAACACGGTTTTTGATACCTGTGTTTCATTCACCTTTTTCTCTAAAACCCTTGATCTCTCGGTCGCCAAAACTGGCAGTAAGCAAGTTAACAACACAAACTTA